ATGTGCTCACTACGCGTTTCCCATTGTAATCCTGCATGACAAATGCTGCATGACTGGCATCCAAAGTTCCTTGTCGTTTTTCTTGGTTTCAGATCAAGACAAGCAAGTGATGTACTGTTCCTTCTGCAGGGTTATCTCACAGCTGAGAGTATGAATAGATTCAGGTTGTAACCAAGTTTTTCTCTCACCTCATTTGTGGTGCTCCTGGGTTGCGTACAAGAATGCAACATGGGTTCACGCAGCTGCTGGATATGCCACTTTCTAAATAATGGCACTGTGACGAGACTTGTTTTTCCAAATACACGCGACCGCATCAATCGGCATGCCTCTTATGGGGTGTCACAACAACCTCTACACTTAGTACGAGGGTGAACTTACGATAATAGCCCTCTGCATCAGTCCAGTTGTCTCTGAGGTTGGGATTCTCCTTGAAATCTTTTCCAATGCCAGCAGCCCGTAGACGAGCACTCTGAAAACAAGGAGGCAACATGAGCTGTATGCCCACTAAAGACATTTAAAACAGAAGAGGGCAAAATCAGCTGTAATCTAATAGAAGCAGTTTATTACAAAATCAATAAATTTGATCACTTTAGTTTTTTGCTATAGGGTGCATTCTCTCACCAGAGAGAGACAGAGATAGTGATAAATAGAGAGAGAAAGTGAGAAGGGGGATAAGAAATCACCCTAAAGGGGGCTGCAGCCCCTTGTCTTCCATTGCCTTCTTGGGATTTTTGGGCACACTCGCGCTCAAGCCCAGTATGAATTTTCAAACTACTGAGTCTGGGACACAAACGGCAGACTTGGCCACGTGGGATGCGCTGCCTTACCCTCCATGCCACCTGCTGGCCCCAACTGTATCATCTATTAAATACAATACAGCTAAAGCTTGATTAATCTGTATTAAAGCTCAGGGGAAAAAATATATTTAAAAGCTTAATGAATATGATTAAAGCATTGTAAATTAAAACAAAACCTTAAAACCAAATCTTACTTTCTATAGTCATGGACAGGCAGACTGGGAAAGAAAGCACAGTGGCACTCAGATAACACTGTCCAACTCTCTCCCCAACCAATTCACTGCCCTGTCAACAGAGTCATCACCCGCATTCTTCCACAGATGTATGGAAGATGTAGGGACATTGGAAACTCTACATGAGTTTGTGTGAAAAACTGAAAAACATCTGGTACTTCAGAAGAGTCTGTTTTCCTTTTTTAATTGCCAGAGGGCATGTGTATTTGCCAGAGACAGACTCATAAACAGAGAGAGAGAAAGCACACCCGGACGGAGCATGATCACAGTGGTCCCCTCATCTCCGCTTCTCCATCCTTTGGAGACGTGGGGCATGTGAGCAACACGTGCCTGCCTCAAGCTGGGATCTGAACCACACTGAGCCAGGTGGGATCTGGCTCCCTTCATCACCAGGAAACAGAGCCAGCCCTGAGGAGTCCTTACCTGCACACCACATATCAAATACCAAGACCCTTCAACTTTATCCATATAAATAGTAGGTGCTGATTCTTTTTTGGGGGGAGCATTTTTTTGCTATAGTGTGCGTGCGCTCGCCAGAAAGAGACAGAAAGCGAGAAATCACCCCCCAGGGAGGATGGCCACGTCACAATCCCTTCTTCTCCATTCTCCTCTGGGGATCTTGGGTACGCATGCACAAGTGCCCAGCATGAGTTTAAGCCACAGGGGACAGGACTTGAACCGCGGTCAACTACATGGGAGTCCAGCGACATAGTCATTATACTAACTGCTGGTCTCAGGTGTTGATTCTTCGAGTGGCTCAATCTCCATTTTACCCTTTAAACCTATGTACGCTGATGCTCCCGCTGTCCTGATAGACACATCGCCTGAGCCAATTACCGACGTCTTAAGTATCCTGTACACTGGTTGCTTATCCTAACCCACTTTTGCATTCCCGCTGTCTCCCTTCCTTATTACAGCCTCTTATTTCTCATGTTCTCCATTTATTTTGAAAATGGTCCCACACTTTTAAAAGCGTTTATAGTTAAGACTTTTTTCAACAAAAGGAACTAATAAATCTTCAAGGAAAAAAATGGGTAAGAGACCAAAATTTTATAATCTACTTCTTATAACATTTTTCTCTCTTCAATAAGTCTGTTAGGCTCTAAATCCTTAAATTCTCAATAACATACACTATAGAAGCCCAAAGTAAACTGCTGTAATCAAGGCCTGGAAAATACTGACATTACCTTATCTCACCCATCACATGTGTGTCTATATCTACAAAAGGTCTTTAAGAAACTAATGGAAAATATGCATTATGAAAAAATTATGGATATATTTCCTAATTTTTTGCAATAAAATAAACTTGTATTCTAACTGCATTTTCCAAGTACTTTTTGAAGTCCCTTCACATATTTAGATACACACGCACACGCAAATAACATGTTTAAGTCGTCTGCTATGAGTTCTACGAAGTTAAGAAATCATTTTGCCATACTTGTTTTGAAATTTTACATAATTTCAAACCTAGAAGGGATAAAAACTAGTAGTTTTTAGATACCCTTTACCCAGTTTTTCCAAATGTCAGCATTTGCTACATTTACTTTATCTTTCCGTCTACCTATGTACACATTTGTATGCACACATATATACTTTTTCCTATTTAATAGCTGATTAAACATAACTTACATCAAAATACGCAGCAAACATATCATCAGATTCTGTAAACATATCAGGTGCCAACAGCTTCTTCTGAGATGAACCTTAAAAGGAAATTTGCATTAACATTCAAAAAGTACAAAGAAAAATTAACATTAAAAAAGTACAGAAGTCAATGGAAAGTGACTAACAGGAACTCTACTTGTGTCTTGCACACCAACTTTCCATTAATACTTGATTTAGAATCACTTTAGAGCACATAAGACATTTAAGATTATCCTCATCTTGCTGAAAATATTTCAGCAAGTCAAAAGGCTTATCAACATTCACCACTGTTAGTTTAAATGGATAAGCTGATAGCTCAGCAATGACTTGGTGCTAAAATGAAAGTTTTTAAAAATAAAGTACATTTTGGGCTGGCCCCGCATACAGTGGTTAAGTGCTGTGCGTAAGGGAGCCAGATCCTACATGGCTGGCCACTGCAGCGCAAGAACATGCAGTCGTGTATGTGTGGTGTCCCAAATCCTGACAGGATGGGGAAATGGAAGGAAAAAGGACTGTGGTCGGACCACATTCCCCTGGAAGGGTGCTATTTACCTTCTCTCTCTAGTGAGTGCACACGCCCTCTGG